ATGATCCCCAGATTCAATACGCTCCCAAGTGAAACTCCAGAGACTTTTTTTTTAAGAAATCCAAAACTAAAATTCATATGGAATTGCAAAGAAACCCAAATAACCAAAACATTCTTGAAAAGGAAAAAACAAAGTTGGCACAGTTGCTGATTCCAAAAATTGCTACAAAACTACAGGAATCAAAACAATATGATACTGGTGATAAGGACAGACATAAACATCAATGGAATAGAATCGAGGGTTCAGATATAAACCCATACATCTGTGATCAATTGATTTTCTTTTTAAAAAATATTTATTTATTTATTTTTGGCTGCATCAGGTCTTAGTTGCAGCACACAGGATCTTTTGTTGTGGCGCACAGGCTTCTCTCTAGTTGTGGCGTGTTGGTGTGATCAATTGACTTTTTTTTTTTTTATGCAGTACGCGGGCCTCTCACTGTTGTGGCCTCTCCCGTTGCGGAGCACAGGCTCCGGACGCGCAGGCTCAGCAGCCATGGCTCACGGGCTCAGCCGCTCCACGGCATGTGGGATCTTCCCGGACCGGGGCACGAACCCGCGTCCCCTGCATCGGCAGGCGGACTCTCAACCACTGAGCCACCAGGGAATCCCTCAATTGACTTTTAACAGGGGTGTCAAGACTATTTAATAGGGAAAGAAGAGTTTCTTCAATACATGGCATTGGAACAACTGGACATCCACATGCAAAACAATGAAGTTCAATCCTTACCTCACACCATATACAAAACTTAACTCAAATGAATCAAAGTCTAAAATATTTGATCTAAAACTATACAACTGGGAATTCCCTGGCTGTCCAGTGGTGAGGACTCTGTTCTCTCACTGCCGGGGGCCTGGGTTCGATCCTGGTTGGGAACATAAAATCCCACAAGCTGCATGGTATGGTGGAAAAACAAGAGTCTTACAAGAAAAATAATTAAAATTAAAATAAACCTATAAAACTCTTAGAAGAAAGTGTAGGGGCAAATCTTCATGACCTTGGATTTGCAATGGTTTCCAAAGAAGGTACACAAATGACCAAGAAGCACGTGAAAGATGCCCTACGTCACTCGTCATTGGGGAATTGCGATTCGGAAGCACAGTTTCATAGAATTCTAAAATTGATCTAACAATTTGATGAAGTTTTCATTAGTCTCCTAACAGTATCTTTCTGTAAACCTTGACAAGTAGATCCTAGAATTTATATGGAAATGCAGAGGGTCAAAAATTGCTAAAACACTCTTGAAGAAAAACAAGGTGAACAGATTTGATCTGTCAGCTATGAAGACTTATAAAAGTACCGTAACTAAGATAGTGAAGTAGTTGAGGCATTGTGGCTAAGACAGTATGAAGGATGACAAAATCAGGCTGATGGCATATAACAGGGAGTGTGGACCTAGACCTAAGTGCACATAGATGGTTGGTTCACAGTTACAATGACATTGAAGGGCAGTGGAGAAATATGGTCTTTCAGTAACTAATGCTGGACAACTGGACAGCCGCATAGAAAAAATGAAACTTAGTCACTGCCTAACACCATGTGCAACATAAATTCCAGATCTATATTCGGAACATAAAATAATGACGCTTTGGGAGGTAATATATGGGGTTATCGCCCATATATTATGTTGTTATCTTAATTAAGCAGGAGACAAGAAATAGGAAAGCACTGTAAGTTTCACCATATTAAGAACGTTGTCTCCCTGTGTCCACCAGCCCTAAACTATTTACAACTTTTTCTCAATCCTGGCCAGTTTCCTGCTTTGAAAGACCCTTCTTAGAGCAATTGCGCCCTTATCCCAAAGCCTGATAACGACACCCCTTGAGCCATTCTCAGCCCACGCTCTTTCTGGCTTGCGTTTGTTAACTCAGATTCGTTTGATCAACGGGCTCCCTTGGCGACGATCTCTGTAGGGTCCTCGACAATTGACAGTCCTTAACTTTTTGAGATATATGCTGAAATCCTTACAGGTAAAATGATACAAGTTCTGAAAACTGCTCCAAAATTAATTTGAAAAAAATAGAGAAAATCAACAGGGATAGATAAGATTTATCATAAATTGTTGAAGCTGAGTAACGGTACATGGGCGTTTGTCTACTTTTGTATGTTTATAATTCTCTATAATAAAAAAATTATTTTTTTTCTGGTCCTTAAGAGGAGATGTTCATTAAGGCCACAGAAAGGCTGCACTCTGTTACCGTGGGTCCCAGGCTCACAATGTGAAAGCATCCAGCCAAACATAACTTAAGTCACACTGGAGTTTGCAGTTCTGTGGAAGGCAGGGAAGAGCAGTGTGGTCAGAGATTTGAGAGAAATAATTCTTTTCAATACCTTCCTAGGACACTCCTAATGTAGAACTAAGAGTAGATACAATTAACTTAAACTTGACATTTAAATCTTGGTTAAAACAAACAAACAAAAAAAGAGTAGAGAATATTTTCTGTGCTTTAGTATTCAGAGAATAAAACTGTGTCACAGTGAGAGAAATTCTTCTGCTTCGAAAACGCTCCCTCCTATGTTCTACCGTGAAAAAATAAAGCTGCGGGGCTTCCCTGGTGGCGCAGTGGTTGGGAATCCGCCTGCCGATGCAGGGGACGCGGGTTCGTGCCCCGTTCCGGGAGGATCCCACATGCTGCGGAGCGGCTGGGCCCGTGAGCCATGGCCGCTGAGCCTGCGCGTCCGGAGCCTGTGCTCTGCAACGGGAGAGGCCACAACAGCGAGAGGCCCGCGTACCGCAAAATAAATAAATAAATAAATAAATAAATAAAGCTGCATATTCTTCCTCAGAAACCTGAATCCTGAAACTGGCCATTATGAGGATCCCACACACAGAGTGATGTCCGATTAGAGGCTTCAAATAGCTATTCACATACGTTGACTGTTTTCTGTGCGTTTGTAATGAGGACCCAGCCAGGGTTGATGTCCTGGAAATCCCTGGGGCTCTCCCTGAAATCTGTGGGTTGAACGTGGCGTTTAGTCATGTAGCTTGTGTTGTGTGTTTCAGAGTAGGGTCCAAACCAGGCAAGGTGTGAGCGGACCCGTCCATTCCTGCTCCAGTTCCCATCAGGGTCCGGTCCTCGTTACCCGTCGCATTTCAGCATGAAACGCTGAGGCAGCCACACGTGGGTGTGGAGGACACAGGCCAGGACCGTCTCTGGAGAGATTCTGAGCGGCAGAGACAACTGGCGACAGCCATGCAGGCGTGATGGAGGCAGCGAGTCACAAAATCCTCTGTGCCGTGCACATGCAGGACACAGCCCGCCTATCCTTGCCTCGGTTCCATCCGGGTCTGTCCTTCTATGCTAGTGACTGCTGGGGACCTCGAGCAGGTGCGACTGAAGTCGCTCAGGGCAGTGGATGTGACCACAAAGGGCAGCAGGAGGGGGTTCTTTGGGGTGATGGACTTGCTCTGTATCCTGATTATGGTGGTGGCTACACAGATCCATACATGTGTTGAAATTCATTTTTTACAGTATGTTAATTTTTTAGAAGTCAATTTTACTGCATGCAAAAAAATTTTTTTAATAGGAAGATCTTTCCTATGAAGATCTGCCTGTTCACTTAAGTGTTTGAGGTGCTAAGACATCTGACTGGTTAAACGACTACTCACAATTTTGAGTGTTCTCATGAATGTCATTAATCGGTCAATGTTGTTAAAGTTTAGCGGTTTTAATTTGCCAAATTTGTGCAAGAAGAGGCCGCAGCAGCTGTTGCAAATACATGTACAGAAAACAACAATGAGATACACACGCCCTGGTGTGAATGCAAAACGGTGCGGCCACTTTGGAAGACAGTCTGCTGCTTTCCTATAAAGCAAACCATAACCTTACCATGGGATCCAGCAATCACGGTCCTTGGTGTTTACCCAAAGGAGCTGAAAACTTGTTTCCACACAGAAACCTGCACACAGATGTTCACAGCAGCTTTATTCATAATTGTCAAAACTTGGAAGCAACAAAGATGTCCTTTAATAGGTGAGTGGATAAATAAACTGTGGTCCATTGGACAATGAAATATTATTCAGCACTAAAAAGGAATGAGCTATTAGGCCATGACAAGCCATGGAGGAACCTTAAATGCATATAAGTAAGTGAAAGGAGCCAATAAGAAAAGGCCACAGACTGTATGCTTCCAACCTTATGACATTCTGGAAAAGGTAAAACTATGGAGACAGTGAAAAGATCAGGGGTTGATGAAGGAGGGGTGAACAGGTGGCGAGCAGGGGATTTTTAGGGCAGGGCCCTGGGTGGTACTGTCTATAATAGCAGACTCGTGTCAAAACCCACAGAACGTACAACACCCAGGTGAATCGTACTGTAAATCATGGGTTTAGTTAATAATAATGTACAATACTGGTTCATCAATTGTAACGAATGTCCCAAACTAATGCCTGGTGCTGGGGAGGCTGGGCACGTGCGTGTGTGAGCTCCTGTACTTTCAGCTCCATTCTTCCCTAACCCTAAAACTGCTCTAAAGAGAGTCTACTAATTATCTTTAAAATGCATATAAAGTTTAACACAAGAACTACTGGCTTATAAGAAGTCCCCTTACTCGATCTGTGATTTACGTGTAAGGGTTTCATGGGTGCTGGTTGTAAAAGGCCCGAAGCAGGCTCAGGTCTCCCGCCTCCAAAAATGCACCCAAAGGCCAAGGCGCCCCAGGCCCGGGTCTTGCGCGGCATCAGCCCCCGCCCCCCGCCCCCGGCCCACCTGCCCGCCGCTCCCCCGCCGCCCCGCGCCCGGCGACTGGGAAAGGTCACTGCACGGGCCGACACCCCACAGGTCCCGCCCGCCGCCCCCGCGGGGGTCCCCTTGTCCCCGGGCGCCTGACCCCAGCGGGCCCGCCGAGGGGCGCCGCCGCGGCGGTGGGGGCTGGCGGGCGGCCGGGGCGACAGCTGGGGGGGCGGCCCTGACCTTCCCGCGCGATCGATGGGGCGCGGCTCGGGCGGCGCGGAGCCGGGGCGGCGCTGACCCCCGCCCGCCCCGCTCCCGCTCCCGGGCGCCGCTATAAAGGGGCCGCGGCCCGACGGCCGCTCAGCCCCCGCCCGGCGCCCACCATGGCCACTCGGGCCCTGCTGCTGCTGCTACTGCTGCTGCCGCCGCCGCTGCTCCGGGGCTGCGCCGCGCGCCCCGCGCCCCCCAGGTGAGCCCGCGGCCCCGGGCCCCGCGCCCGCCCGCCCGCCCCCACCCCGCCCCGGGCCTGACCCCCCGACCCCACCCGGCCCCCTCCGCGTCCCCTCCGCAGGGCCCCGCGACACTCGGACGGGACTTTCACCAGCGAGCTCAGCCGCCTGCGGGAGAGCGCGCGGCTGCAGCGGTTGCTGCAGGGCCTGGTGGGGAAGCGCAGGTGAGGGGCGGCGGGATGGGGGTGGACCTGCCAGGGGGCTCCCCAACTCCAGACTAATTCTGACTTGGGGTGGGGAGCAGCGAGCAGGACACAGAGAACAGCACAGCCTGGACCAACTCTGCGGAGGGCCACCTCTGCCTGCTGTGGTCCGACGCGCCCACCCTGCAGGCCTGGTGAGCACCAGCCCCATCCCCCCATCCCCCATCCCCTGCCCCATAGCCTCTCTCCCTGGGGCACCCCAGGTCCCGGGTACAACTGGACACAGCAATGGCCCAGGGGTCTGGGAGGGTGAAACTGTCAGCGCTGGTGACCAGAGAAGGCCCAGTTTCGCCGGGTGGGCAGCGGTCTCCAGCACCAAGACCCCAACCCCTAACCTGGCTGTCTCTGCAGGATGCCCCTGAGGCCCCCCGAGGATCAGGCCTGGTCTCCCCAGATGCCTCTTGGACTGAGGGCTGGGGTCATGGTGTCAGAGCCGGCCATCCCTGCTGCTGAGGGGACCCAGATGAGGCCCTGAGGAAGAAGGAACCTCCCAAGGGGAGCCTGGACAGGGGAGGGGGGCGGAGGAGGGGGGGTTGCAGTTGGCACCAATAAAGGAGCAATTCAGACCCTGGCCCTGTGAGCCCGCTCTGTGCGCCGTCTGGGTACCATCGAGGAAGCTGCTGCAGGGCACGGCTGCCAGAGGGAAGGAGAGACCCATCCTCGGGATTCTAGGACCGTGGCTATGCCCAGCTGCCCTTTCAACCTGGGAAGCCAGCGGGGAGCCTCATATTTCCGCTTCCTTATCTCCTGCCCCATCCACTGAGCTCCCTGGAAGCCGCCCGGCACCTCTGGTATCCACACAGCAAACATTCAGGGGCTCTGGGAGATGTCCCAGAGATCCTGCCCCGGGGGGCAGTGGTGAGGGGGCAAGGAGGCTCGGCCAAGCAGGAAGAGGCGACAGGCAGGACCCAGGAGGCCACTCCCCAGTGAAAGGACCTGAGCATGAGTCCTGGCTCCCGGTCCAGGCATGCAGTCTGGATGGGTGGCTTGACCTCGCGGGGCCTGTGGAGCAGGGCCGGTGATGACACCCCAAGTGCCAGGCTGCAGGAGGCCTTGTAGGACCACAGGCTCAGGGTTGCTCTGCGAAGGTGTTTCAGGTGCGCGTGGCCTGGGGCCTGGAGGTGCGAAGGGCTCCACCCGACCCATCACAGCAGCCCCTCCCCCACCCAGTGTCCTCTCCCAGCTTTTGGGCTTAGGGGGCTGAGGAAAGATGGAGGTGGGGCAGTTGGGGGCCTCTGCCATGGGCCCCTCACAAGCATGCCCCTCTGTCGGGGCCCAGGGTCCCCCCCCCAGCTGCCAGCTGCCCCGAAGCACTGCCATCCTTGTCACTGTGACCCCGCCCAGCCCCCTGGAAGAAGCTGGCTTGTTTCTGGGACAGGCAGGGGAGTCCCTAGGACACATATAACCTTTCCCTTCCAGACCTGTCCCCTAAACTCGGGGACAGGCGGTGGGCCCGGAGGGGAACACCTGTGGCCTGAGCCTGAACCTCCCGGACCACCTTAGGAGCTGTGCCCACGAGGGTTCTGGCAGAAGGGCCCAGCAGAGGGGCGTCCCAGGTTGGGGGGCAAGTACAGCAAACACAGAGGCCCACCCCAGCCCCAGCCCGCCCAGGCCCCCAGTGCCCGCCCACCAGCTCTGGGTTCCTCTGTCTTGGGGTCTGTGGGTTGAGCCCCTGTCAGCCCCTGCATGTGGCCCGGTTCCAGCCGCGTAACCACCTGGTCTGCCCCTCCTGGCAGCCGGCGAGGCCTGGCCGGCGGCCAGCGGGGGCCCCCTTGGTGGAGGCCAGTCCTGTGGTTGGTTGGCGGCAGTCGTTGTAAAGGATCATAAAGTGGGGCGGCGCCTGGCAGGGGCGAAGGTCGCCCAGGCAGAGACTGCGCCAGCAACACAGCCGCTCAGAGGGTCCCAGACGCCAGACGGGCCCACAGCCTCCCCCGGGGCCGCCCACCTGCCGAGATGGTGACTTGGGCCCTACTGCTTCCTCTGCTCGTGGCCGTGGCCCAGGCCCAGGGTACTGGGGGCAGTGGCAGAGGGGCGGGGCGGCAGGCAGGGTGCTGGCAGGCACCGACCCTTCCTCTCCAACTTCCAGTCTGCTCTGTGGAAAAGACCTCCTTCGAAGTCGGTGAGAACACGAGTCCCGGGCAGCTACTCCTCAACATCACCGTCCCTGAGGGCCAGCAGGTGACCCTCGGACCCTCGTCCACCCGTTTCGCATTTCGGATCCAGGGGACTCAGCTGTTTCTCAATGTGACCCCGGACTACGAGGTATGGATGGCGGGCCCAGGGCTGGCTGTGCCCATGGGGTCAGCGGGGGTGGCCGACCCTCCATGGGACCCAGGCGGCCACCCACACTCCTCCCCAGAGAAGGGCTCTCTGGGGCTCTTTGGGTCTCAGTTTGCCCAGGGGGCCTCTCGGGCCCCCAGGCTTGGCTGAGGGCTGGCCCTGAGGGGGTGGGGCCCTCGGGGGACGAAGCTGCCTGGGCCCCGCCGCCCTCTGGACTCAGCATGGATGACAGGGACCCTGGGCCAGCACCTGCTGCTCTCGCTCTGTCTCCTCACCTGTGGAATGGGGCGGGGGTTGGGCCAGCTGCCCAGATGATTCCCACACCTGCCCGCCCCCGCAGGAGAACTCAATGCTGGAAGCAGTCCTGGAGTGCAAGAGGGATGACACTGTGGTGAGTCTGCCCCCCAGAACCCCTCCGGCATCCCCACATCCCCACCCTCCCCGTGATGTCAGAGGGCTCCGGCTTGGACCTCTGTGCCCTGCTCTGCCTGGCCCACGGTCACTCCCTGGCGACCTCACCCAGTGGTGTGTTTCAAGTGTCACCTCTGTGCCAGCAACGCCCACACTTCCCCCAGCCCAGACTGTGCCTCGAGCCGCAGACTCACAAACCCGGCCCCGGATGGACATCACACCCCACAGACACCCCCACCCTGAGATCCAAGGCCCCCCCAAAGGCGCCTCGCCCTGCCAGCTCAGTCCTCACTTCCCCCTCCCCACGCCGGTCCTCCAGCAAATCTGCCGGCTGACTGGGCCTGACACCAGCATCTTCTGCTGGTCCATCTGTTCCCCTCTTGGCCCCGCCCACCCCAGTCCACTCTCTGAATGGCAGGGGAACGATACTATCCGGTAAAGCAAGCAGCGGTCCCTGCCCTCCCAAATAAAGCGAATAAAGGCCCAGCGGCACGCCGCGCCCCCAGCCCCCCACCCCGGCTGCTCCCTGTCACCTCCTCGGAGAGGCGCCCGCCTCCCTGGCCCCTCGCACCAGTCAGCTGTGTGGTCTCCCTGAGCCCCGTGGGTGCCCCCCGCCCAACGCCACAGCACACCACCCGCAAATACCTCAGGATGAGCCTCTAGCGGACAAGGCCGCTTCTTCTTAACGGAAAGGCAGGGGATCCTCGCCAGCGCAGCATCCAACGCCCACACCCCCCAGCTCCAGAGCAGTCTTTCACAGCGTCCTGCCAGCAAGGTCCACCCAATGCAGCTGGTTGATGTTTTTCTCACGTCTCTTTCAACATATGGTGTCCTGACTTTCCGTGAGACTTATGCTTGAAGAAATTCGATTGTTTTGCCGTTTTCCTCATTTGGGGTTTTGCTGGTTGCGCCCCCAGTGCCTGCGTTATTTTTCTCCAGGGCATTCGCACCTTCTGTGCTTTAAAAAAATTGCTTTCTGTTCCTTGTCTGTAACGCCTGCTGGAGCGGGAGCCCCAGGCAGAGAGCTGTCTTGGGAACTGTACCCCAGCGCCTAGAATGAGCTCACGCCGCTGGGCCGGGGACCCTCCTCCCTCCCCCAGGTGACCAGCCTGAGGGTGTTTGTGTCAGTGCTGGATGTCAACGACAACCCGCCCAGGTTCCCCTTTGTAGTCAAGGTCCAAAGGGTGCCGGAGGTGAGTGGAAGGGAGCAGCAGTTCACACCACCTGGGGCATCTGGCGCCTGGGATGGGGGGCAGAGGGCTAGTGGCTGGGGGTCTCACCCTGGGGACACGGGCGTGGCCAGACCGACCCCCCTCCGTACCCCAGGACACTAAAGTGAATGCCGTCGTCATCCCCGAGACAGAGCTGAAGGCCCAGGACCTCGACAAAGATGACATCCTGTTCTACACCCTCCAGGAAGTGACCCCGGTCAGTGCCCCCAGCCCTCCCCTTTGGGTATCCCCACCTCTGCGCATCCTCCCGGGGTCCCAGGCTGAGTCCCCCACCTCCCCAGGGTGCCAGCGGCTTCTTCTCTTTGGTGGGCGCGAACCGCCCAGAGCTGCGGCTGGACCGGTCACTGGACTTCGACAGGTGGCCGAATATGACCTTCCAACTGCTGGTCCGGGTGAGCAGGCCACTCCCGCCCTCATCCCGGACGCCCACGGCCCCACCCGAGCCGCTCCAGCCACAGGCCCCCAGGCCTGACGGCAGGGCTGCGGTGCTGCAGGACACGCGAGAGGAGAACGCGGAGCCCAGCCACACGGCCACAGCCACCTTGGTCCTGGAGGTGCAGCCCGCCGACCTGCGGGCCCCCTGGTTCCTGCCCTGCACATACTCTGACGGTTTTGTCTGCGTCGAAGCCCAGTACCACGGGGCTGTGCCCACAGGCCACACACTGGTACGGGGGCCGTGAAGGACCAGGGCAGCATGAGCACGGGCCTGGCTGCCATGGGGTCAGAGTGGGTTGTGATTTTCAAGCAAATGTGAACGATTTTTCGTAAACCAATCTTGCCCCACCCCGTGGTGGCAAGTGGGACACAGGGCCTCTGAAATTCAAATGAGGAAACAGGGTCCAGCTGTCCTCAGGGCAGAGCCAGCCAGGCCCCTGGGACCCAGTCCCTCACCCCAGGGACCGACCTGGGTCCCTGACTGCCCCCTGGGGCTACTCCAGATCTCCCTGAGGGGAGCGGGAGGGGCACCAGTTCCACGGCGTACCCTCCCCTCCGTGTTCCCGCAGTCAGGACCCCTCATCCTGCATCCTGGGCCCATCTACGCTGTGGACGGGGACCGGGGCATCCATCAGCCCATTGTGTACAGCATCATCAGGGGTGAGTGGGCACCAGCCCCCAACTTCTCTCTCCATGCAACACCCTGACCCCGTCCCCACATGGGCAGAACCAGCTGTGACACTGGGACTTCAGGCCTCCAGAGGGGACTGCAGCCAAACCCTCCCGCCGTCCTCCCAGGAAACGAGGATGGCTCGTTCTCCATTGATGCCAACACAGGCAACCTCACCATGACCAAGAGCATCCCCAGCCCCAAGACCTTCCTTCTGCTGGTCAAGGTGGGTGCCCGCACAGGGCCAGGTCTCCACGGGCCCTTCCTGGGCCCCTGGCTACAGGGCTCACCCCTCAAGGACCTGCTGGTCACTGCGGCCTCTCCAACCCCCAGGGCGAGCAGGCGGATCACGCCAGGTACTCGGTGACCCAGGTCACAGTGGAGGCCCAGGCCGCCAGCGGGAGCCCGCCCCGCTTCCCCCAGAGCCTGTACCGTGGCACCGTGGCGCTCGGCTCTGGGGTGGGCGTGGTCATCAAGGATGCAGCTGCCCCCTCCCAGCCTCTGAGGATCCGGGCCCAGGATCCTGAGTTCCCAGTAGGCACCGCCTGGTCCCTGGGTCTGCCCGGCCTCCTGCGTTGGGGGGGTTGGAGCGGTCTGGGGAGCAGCCTGGGCTCAGGACTCACTGGGGCCACGTCCAGGACCTCAACTCGGCCATCACGTATCGGGTCACCAACAACTCTAACTTCAGAATGGACGGGGAGGCCATGCTGACTGGCGCTTCACTGGTGCACGCCGGGGTCTTCTATGCAGAGGTGAGAGGCGGGCAGTATCTCCGAGGGCCAGGGGTCAAGCTGGAGCCCAGGAGGGACAAGCCCCCTTCCTGCCCAGGTTGAGGCCAGGAACACGGTGACCTCAGGCACAGCGACCACGGTCGTGGAGGTTCAAGTCTCAGAACAGGAACCCGCCCCCACAGGTGAGCCTCCCAGGGACCCCGGGTCGACTCAGGGAGGGCTTCTTGCTAGGGGGAGTGGCGAGCCTGAGCCCTGGCCCTGGCCCCAGGCCCCCCCACGTCCCCAGAGACAGCAGGAACAACCAGAGCCTCCAGCGGCACCACGTCGGAAGCCCCTCGGCCCCCTGAGCCCTCTTGGGGGTCCTCCACGACCAGCTCTGGTGGGGACAGCAGCCCACACCCCTCCTCAGGCACAACTCTGAGGCCTCCGGCCTCCTCCATGCCTGGGGGGCCCCCCAGTGCGGGAACCAGCCCCTCCTTGCCATCAGCCTCACCCAGTGGGGGCTCAGCACAGACCTCAAAGCCAGGAACCTCTCTGCCAACGTCCCCTGGACCCAGCAGGACCCCCCGGCCTACAGGTAGCACCACCATTTACCCTAGTTACCCTCATGCTCTCTGACTCAGGACTCTGGGCGGTCGCTGTGGGGTAGGGTCTACCCCAGGTCGGCCCAGCACGACCATGGGGACCACGAAACCCCAAGGGGGGTCTGGCAAAGAGACAGGTCCTGGGGGGCCCCAGGAGGTAAGCTAGGGAAGATGTGTGGAGGGTAGGGCAGAGGCCAGACTTAGGATCCAGCGACACCCCCAATTCCCAGGGCCATTCAGCCCACGGGCCCCGTGCTACCCTCAGCTCCCTGTCTGGCATGTTGGCCCCCTACCACCCACCTGGAACTGGTGGGCACTGAACCCCTCCCCGCTCCCAGTAGCCCGGCCTATCGGGGCTCCCTGGTGGGGGTCAGTGGCGCCCACTCCTCCAAACATCATCTCCGGTGGCCAGCCCTAGCCTGCTCTTCGGGTGTCCCGAGCTTGCCCCAGGCTGGCCCGGGAGTGCTTGCGGTGGGACAGCAAGTGGGCAGCGGTGTTGCCAGCAGGGACGTCTGGGACCTATGCAAGACGCGTTGAGGACCTGCGCTTCTCGGTGGTGGATATGGCGGCGCTGGGCGGGGCGCTGAGCGCGCTGTTCCTTCTGGCTCTCATCGCCCTCATAGTCCTCGTCCACAAGCACTACGGCCACCGACTCAAGTGCTGCTGTGGCAAAGCGCTGGTGAGGCCCTCGGGGTGGGGGAAAGGACAGGAGAGAGGACGGGGGGCGGTGGAGAAGCGGCAGGATGGAGAGAGAGGCAGCGTGGAGGCCAGGAGTCCATCCGGGCGATGCAGGGCAGAGGTGAGGAGGGACGGGGCGTACACACCATAGCCCACAGATGGGGGGAAGGGCAGAGAGAGGCAGAGCGTCTAGCCGCCTGTCTCTGGGGGAACAGGGGTGGTCTGAGCCCAGGCCTGGTCTGGTTGATTGCTGGTTCCCGCCTGCCCCCCAGGAGCCCCAGCCCCAAGGCTTTGACAACCAGGCCTTCCTCAACAACCCCGACGAGGCCAGCTGGGCACCGGCTCCTAGCCCCTCATCCAGTCCCGTCCCGCCGGCTCCCCCAGAGCCTGCACCCCCAGAACCCAAGCCCCCCAGCCTGGAGACCCTCCGCCGAGTCGCCGAGTCCCCTACGGTAGCCCTGGATGGGGACGGCCCGGCTGCTGTGAGGTCCATCCTGACCAAGGAGCGGCGGCCTGAGGGTGGCTACAAGGCGGTGTGGTTCGGCGAGGACATCGGGGCCGAGGCCGACGTGGTGGTCCTCAACACGCCTGCCTCGGAAGTGGACGGTGCTGGCGACGAGGGCAGCGAGGGCAGCGGCGACGAGGGCGCAGAGGCGGGCCTGCGCGGGGGTGCCCAGGACGCGCCTCGCTCCGACTCCATCTACCTCTAGTGTGGCCGCCCCTCCTCTCCCGACGAGTCTGGATCACTGGAGTCGGCTTGCTGGCTCTCCCCCCACTCCATTGCGCAGAATAAAGTGACATTTTCGGATCTGCTGGGACGCGTGGGGTCTGCCCCAAGGGGCTGCCAGTGGGGGTTGTCAGGACGTGGTCCATTTGCTCCCGCCCTGCACTGAGTCCTCCTCAGAGGGACCGCCAGGGGCGCCGTGGGGGCGGAGAGGGGTGGGCGGGGTCGTTCCCTGCCCAGAGCACTGGGTGCTGTTTCCCGTAAACCACCTGCTGCGCCCGCGGGGCTTCCCAGGCTCGGTGCCAGCTGGTGGCCAGGAAGTTCCTCTCCTTGTCTAACCACAGCTGACCCAACACAGGCTGACCCAACACAGAGATTCTTCCCCTGGGGGAGGCAGAGGAGCCACGTGGCCAGGAGCCACCCTCAAGGACACTCGTTTGGGAGAGCGTGGGCCCGGGGACCTTCCAGGGGGTCGCACTCCTGCATCTGTGGCCTCCAGTGAGGGCAGTAAACACGCTGGGGTGCCCTCGGAGGCACGTGGTCCCGGTGGCTGGGCTGTGACGGGCGGTGCGGGGTGGAGGCGGGTGGTTTGGCCCAGTGCGACAGTGGCCAGCAGGCCCTGGGCCCCGGGCAGCAGGTGGGGCCAGTGGGTGCACAGGACAGAGGCTGTGGACGCGACCCAGAGCCACGGAGTTGGGGACCGAGCCCCCTCCACTGGCTTCCTCAGGGTCGACCCTCAGTCAGGACTTCAGCCCCGACCACCGCCACTGTCCCTTATGCATCACTGGCGTTTTTTCCTCACGAAAAGGCATTTCCGATTCCTTTCCAAATATTTTAATCTCGACAGTATTTGAGTATTCTTGCCTGGACAACTGTCACTGGTAAGAACCCAAAGAGCACAGCTGCATCTCCTCCCACGCACCCCCCTCACCCGCTCGTCCGCTCAGGGACCTGACTGGTTTTGTTTCTGATCCCGGGGTCCCCAACTTATCCCACTGCTTCTCCCACCACGTTGGTTGCTGGCGCCCCAGCCCCCCGCAGCGCTGGGTGAGGGAAGGGAGCGGCTGGACTCCGAAGGGGCTGTGCCCTGCGGCAGCCAGGACCCCAGTGCCGCCCCCGCCCCCGCCCGCGGGAGCACGTGACTTCCCCGGCCCCGGCCCCGCCTCCGGCCCCCGCCACCATAAAAGCGCTTGCTCCGGAGCCCCAGCGGAGCCGAAATTTCCCGCGCCGGCGGTGCCAGTACCAGGTACTCGGGACTCCCAACCCACGCGGAGCGAGAAAGGCAGCGACGGCCGCGTCGGACCCCAGGTTCACTCCGCGGAGCAGTGACCAGGAGGGGGCGGGCAGAGCGGGTGACGGCGAGGGGCACGGGTCCGGAACTGGGGGACCTGGAGGCGGAGATCGCGGTGACGCGCGGGGTGGGGCGGGTTAGGTTTCGTTTTCCCGCAGCGCGCGGTTTCGTTTTCCTACGGCCGTTCCCGTCGCGCCCCCGCAGGGCCCAGCCCGGACGCCGGCTCGACACCTGTGGCCCCTCGTGTGCCCGAGGCCCCGCCGCATCTGTAGCCACACCCATCGCCTCCTTGGCCAGGACTCACCTGGGCAACACCGTGGCCAGAAGTCCTCAACTTCCATCTGTGACCCCAACACTTGGGACCCCAACACCCGGGACTACCTGCGGAGACTCAGGCGGAACCCTCCTCTCACCTGCGCCATCCCCCGACTGCCCCCGCGACCCCAGCCCTCGCCGCGGAGGGCGCGCCGCTCTCTCTACGCCCGGCCCTTGCGGAGGGAGCAATGGCCGTGGCTCCCGACGGGTGAGCCCGCCGCGCTGCCCGCTGCCGACCCCACCCACGCCCCCAGTGGCCCGCGCGCGCCCTGACGCCCGTCTGCTCCGCCCGCAGGGGGACCCCGCGCGTGCTCTTCGGAGACTGGCTTCTGGGCGAGGTCAGCAGCGGCCGCTACGAGGGACTACGGTGGCTGGACGCGGCCCGAACGCGCTTCCGCGTGCCCTGGAAGCACTTTGCGCGGAAGGACCTGGGAGAGGCCGACTCGCGCATCTTCAAGGTGGGACCCCAGCCCCGCCCGGGGCGGGGGAGGGCCGGTCCAGGCCCAGGCCCGAGTGTCCGGGCCGCGTAATCCACTCAGTCTCGCTCCCCAGGCCTGGGCTGTGGCCCGCGGCAGGTGGCCTCTCCGCAGCAGCGCAGGTGCCCGGCCGACCGCCGAGAGTGCGCTCCGAGCTTCCTGGAAAACCAACTTCCGCTGCGCGCTGCATTGTACGCGGCGCTTCGTGATGTTGCAAGACAACTCGGGGGACCCTACCGACCCTCATAAGGTGTACATGGTCACCCCCGGGCCGGCGTGCGGAGGTGAGGAGGCCACGGCAGGGCTGCCGGCAGGGAGACTTGGCTCTGTCCCGGGAGCAGCCGCTGGGTCGGATTTTCGGTTTTAGAAAACTGGCATGGGAGAGGCTGGTGCCAGATTGCTGGGGGATGGCGGGGCCGGGGTGAGGGCGTGTGGCGCGGCTAGCGGGGACTGGGGATTGCTGGGAGGAAGCTCATGGGCCTGTTGGGATCAGTGAAGGGGAAGTGCGGTTGAGCTTTGAGGAGCTGCCCAGGGATTCACACCTAGGTGTCCCACTCCAGAGTCGCAAGTCCAGTGTTCCCCCAACCCTAATTCTCCCTCAGAAAGCCCAGGCATTATTAGCCAGGGGGAGGACAAGGCCCTTGAAGATGCCCCACCTACAAGGGTAAGGTCACTGCCCTCTTGGATCCCACTTTGGGGCCGCCCCCTCTCACTGGGCTGGGGAGCTGCTGAGTTATGCTGGGACCGTCTGTCCTCTCCTGCAGGATGGGCTGGCCGGGCTGAGCCCTGAGCCCTGTGCCCCAAGCCCAGCCGGAGATGCTGGGGACCTACTGATCCAGGCTCTGCAGCAGAGCTGCCTGGAGGACCATGTGCTGAAAGCTGCGTGTGGGGTGGAGCCGATAGCCCCTGGGGCTCCTGGTGAGGGGCTGTTGGAGGGGGATGCTCTGCCCTGCAGAATTCTGTGTGCCAAGGGGAGAGACAGGCAGGACAGCAGAGTCCCCGGGGAGAGAGGGCCCGGGGGAGGGGGGTGCCCAGCAGGGACAGTGCTGGCCAGAGGTGGGCCATCATCCCTGCTGGGCACAGCTGAGCCTCCTCAGGTCCAGAGCTCCCTGCTTGGGAGTTGTGCCTGCCACAGTAAATGTGGCGCCACAGCCCCAGGCCTAACTAACAGGAGCTAGGGAACATGTGGAAGGAAATGGGAGGAGCTGGCGGCTCGGGTGCCAGCTCAGGCCTGCCTTCCTCTCCAGACACAGGCCCACCCCCAGCCCCCTGGCAGCCCCGAGAGGCGGAGCCCCGCACCACAGCCTCCCCCAGTGCCTGCACCCTGATGGCAGGGCATCTGCACGTGGCTGGTCCCACCTGCTCACAGCTCGGTCTGCACACACTGCCCAGCTTGGGGGCCCTGGACTTGACCATCACGTACAAGGGCCGAACAGTGCTGCAAGAGGTGGTGGGGCGCCCGAGCTGTGTGCTCCTGTATGGCCCCCCCGATGTAGGTGGTGGGGCTTCAGAGCACCAGCGAGTAGCCTTTCCCAGCCCCGCCGAGCTGCCCGACCAGAAGCAGCTCCACTACACAGAGAAGCTGCTGCAGCACGTAGCCCCCGGCCTGCAGCTGGAACTGCGGGGTCTCAGGCTGTGGGCCCGGCGCCTGGGCAAGTGTAAGGTCTATTGGGAGGTGGGAGGGCCCCTGGGCTCGGCCAGCTCCTCCACCCCCGCCCGCCTGCTGCCCCGGAACTGCGACACCCCCATCTTTGACTTCAGCACCTTCTTCCAAGGTCAGTGATGCACCTGCCCTGGGGCTGAGAGCATCCCCGCCTCCCCCCACCCCCCCTCACCAAAGCCCTGTCCTGCAGAACTGGGGGAGTTTGAGGCCTGCCGGCGCCGGGGCTCCCCTCACTACACCATCTATCTGGGCTTTGGGCAGGACCTGTCAGTGGGAAGGCCCAAGGAGAAGAGCCTGGTCCTGGTGAAGGTGAGGTGGAGGGTCCCTGGGGTGGGGGTGGGGGGAGGGAGGGAGGCTGCACACAGCCCTCCCCCCACCTGACCGCGCCCTCCCCACAGTTGGAACCATGGCTGTGCCGGGCATACCTGGAGGGTGTGCAGCGCGAAGGCGCGTCCTCTCTGGACAGCGGCAGCCTCAGCCTCTGCCTTTCCAGCTGCAACAGCCTCTATGATGACCTGGAGCACTTCCTGGAGCACTTCCTGATGGAGGCGGAGCAGCCTGGCTAGGCTGGGCCCCCAACCCCTCCCGATCTAATAAAAAGATCCCAAGAACCAGTGCTGATGTCCTGACCAGGGGCAGGCTTGAGACTGAGGCTTGGGAGGGGCACTGTGGATGCGAGGTTCACCCTACTTCACGGGAAGCCCGTGACCTGTGGGCCCAGGAAGGGAGCCCCCTGCCCCGTCCACGTAGGCCTCCTGTGCACACCCGTTCTCCTGACTTCACAGTGAAGAAACTCAGGGCATGCTTTAGAGCCAACAAACTGCTCCAAGAGCGCAAGGGCCCTCAGGACATGTGTCCCCCCTGCCCCCAGAGGGGGCAGCACCTGGGGCCCCTCTGCCGTGAACAGGGCTCCCCATCTGTGCTGCGCCCAAAGCCTGTCCCTGGCCTTCGAGACCCGCCAACACTGCTCTGCTTGGGAGGCGGACCCAAGTATAAACCCGAGCAATTACAAAACACAGCGAGCAGACGAGGGATCCTGGGGCCAGACGGCTGCCTGTGGGAGAAGCGCCGCCCGCCCGCCCCACCTTTGGTTTCTCATCACCAAAGGCTTTGCCCAAGTACTGAGCCAATCAAGACATTTCTAAAGATAATCCGTTTTTGATAAATTAGAACACAATGGGAACAGTGTGTGTCTATAATGTACATATAAAAGTCCAGTTTTAAACTGTGAGCAAGACACGTGCACAGACCACGTGCGATCACAGGAACCCTGGAAACGGGAGGGCGAGTGGCCC